TTTATCTACTGAGCAGCCTAGAAAAGACAATGCCTTTTGGGGGACAGCTGTATTTAACAGACTGCCTCACTAAGGTGTGTGCACCAGGAGAAAGAGAAAGGTGGTAGAATCAGGCCAGCAGTCTGCTGCTGCAAACTGCAACTAATCAGGGAGGTCAAATACAACAATCCATAGCAGTGAGATGTTCCCCGGGGAGGTGGAGAGTCTGATACGTCAGAAGGGGGAGGAAGAGTCACAGTCCCTCAAGCTGCTATTATGGACAGGAATCACAAGTTAGGAAGGAATCAGTCTGCATTAAAACCACAGAGCCGGGCTGGCTGGTTAGCTCAGTTGGTTAGAGTGCAGCTATCTAACACCAAGGTCCTGGGTTTGGATTCCCCATACCAGCCAGCCACCAAAAAAAGAAAAAAAGCAAGAAATACAGATCCGATCAGCAGCTCAGTTTTTAATGGTCCCATCAAACAGCCCTTTACTGTGGACATCTGTAAGTGACCGAGACAGTCCAGTAGCATCCTTGATGTTTTCACACCACACAGAGGGATATCTCAAATCTGCCATGGTCCTAAAGTCAGAGTCCTGCTCATTGAGTGGAGTGACTTCACCCAGTTTTAGTTCAGCAGACTTCAGACTGAGGCTGGAATAGCTCACAATATCAGGTCTCAGCTTTGAGTTAGTTTATTAGTCCATTTTCTGTTGTTCATAACAGAATACCTGAAACTGGATAATTTTTTTTTTCCTTTTTGTCTTTTTTCGTGACCGGCAATGGATCGCAACCCTCAGTGTCGCGCCCGTACCAGACCGGGACCGGCAACGGGATCGCAACCCTCGGTGTTGCGCCCGCAACTCGCTCAGCCAGTGAGCAGCCGGTCTGTATGTGGGATCCGAACCCTCGGTGGGAGCACCGCTGCACTCCCAAGCGGCGCACTGTAGCAGTGCGCCACCGGGCTGGCCCCGAAACTGGATAACTTCTAAGAAAACAAAATTTACTTCTTACAGTTTTGGAAGCTGGGAATTCCAAGGTCCGGGGGGTTACATTTGGTGAGGGCCTTCCTCTAGGTGGAAAATCTCTCAGTGTCCCCTGGCGAGGCAGGGTATCACATAATGAGGGCTGAGCGAGGTTGAACCAACAAGCTCTCTTGCTCTCCTTTATAAAGCCACCAGCCCACACCCATGACAACCATTAAATCATTAACTCATTACTCCATGAATGGATTAATCCACTCATGAGCACAGTCCTCACGATCCAATCACATCTTAAAGGCCCCACCTTTCAACACTGCCACATTGGGAATGAAGCTCCCACATGAGCTTTTGAGGCGACAAACATTCAACCTATAGCAGTCAGGTTCAGGTAACTAGGACTTGTGAATTCAGGATTTTCTTCTTCAGCATCCAAAGAAGATGAGGACGGAGAAATCATAGTAAGAATGATCAGTTACTGAAACTTGTTATGTTTTCAAAACTCAAAGAATTCACATTCCAAGCTGCCCGCAGTGACAAAATGCAAGAAAGGCATGTCCTAGTAATGCTTTTTTTCCAGCTCTCCCTAGTTGTGATGAAATTGTGTGAAATTATAAGCATATAATATTTAACTTTTTTTTTTTTTTTTGTTTTTTTCATGACCAGTAAGAGGATCAAAACCCCTTGGCTTGGTGTCGCCCGCACCGCGCTCAGCCAGTGAGCGCACCGGCCATTCCTATATAGGATCTGAACCCATGGCGGGAGCGTCGCTGCACTCCCAGTGCTGCACTCTCCCAAGTGCGCCACGGGGCTGGCCCCATATAATATTTTATACCAATTTTAACCATCCATCCAAATGTAATAGCCATAAAACAAAAGCCATTTTATTTAATTTTTCGTTGTTTTTATATCTTTTTTTTTCATTTTGTCTACAAAGCCATTTTTTTCAAAAACTTCCCTCTTTTATTTAAATGGCAAATTTACAAGCAACTTACAGTAAACTAAGCACTTACAGGGTTGAGGCCAGCATCTGGAGGGCCCCCATCCCTGCTTTTTCCCCCTCAGTTTATCTAAAGCTTTGCTGGAGCCCTGGGAACTGATTTAATTTTTTCCTCCCACTTGGAGGGGAGAAAATGCAAACTTTTAATATATTTGGTCCACCCAAAGTTTACCGTTGGGAACACTTGGGCCCTTTCTCCTTCCACCCTGAGGAGAGAACAAAAACTAAAGGTATCATCCCTTCTAGGCTTCTTTCCCCTCACTTTATTTATTTATTTATTTTTATTTTATTTTTTAAAAAATGACTGGTAAGGAGATTTTAACCCTTGATTTGGTGTTGTCAGCACCATCCTCTCCCAAGTGAGCCACAGGCCGGCCCTTTTCCCCTGACTTTAGCCAGCACAGCCAAAAGAGGCCAGGGATGCAGATAGTCAACTTTCCTGGAGATCAATCTATCATTTTCAAATTCCATAGGTAAGTTTTACCTTTCACAACAGCTTCAGCTATAGCTCAGGCTGCTGTCTCATAACATAGGTAACTCCATAGCCACTCAGGTGTCCAAAATTTGTTGTCCAGTCCTGGAGGCAATGCAGGCTGTCGTACAGCACTGGGCAGCTGCTGAGTGCTCAGCCAGGTCTTAGAAAGGAGTTCAAAGACAGGGCTGCCTTGATCATAACAATAACAGTATCAAAGAAGAATATGGCCAGCGTTTATGCATCTAGGAATCTCATATTCATATCCCAGGAAAGATATTTCTTGCCCCTTCATTCTTTCTTTTCCCAAACAATGCTTTTGCCATATTTCAGTGAGTCAGGGTCAATCTAGTGAATCCCACTGCTGCCACCACTGTGTTGGGGTTCCCAAGACCACCCCCAGGTTCAGTGATTTGCTAGAACTCACAGGATCCAGCATACAGTCAGTCAAGGCTAAGACATCACAGCAAAATGATACACAGTAGAATCAGCAGAGGAAAAAAGCACATGCTGTGAAGTCCCGGGAAACCAGGCACAAGCTTCCAGAGTTTCTCCCAGTGGAGTCACACAGGATACGCTTAGCTCCTTTAGCAACATGAAATAGTATCTACCAGGGAAGCCTGCCAGAATGTGCTGAGACACACAGTGTTTCTGGAAGCAAAGTCCAGAGGGTCGGAGGGACAAAGTCACTACCCCTGCCCAGCTGAGCCAGATGCCTGCCAGCCTAGCCTTTGGAACTCTAAGACTGCTGATAACATAATTCCCTGATTCAGTAAATATTGACTTTGTGCCAGGCCAGGATCCAGGACTGGGGTTTTGAGCTGGCCACAGCAAGCAACGGGACAACGTGTTCCTGCTGGCCTGGGGGGGGATGTGTGGGCTGCACTGAGCCTGTCTCCCTCAGTGGAACGTCCTGGGCCTGTGAGGTCTACTGTGGGATACCTCCACTCCAGTTTTCTCAGCTGGAAACTTAGACCCAGGGGACTGAGATGGACATTGGGGGAAGGCTGGAGAGCTGTCCAGTTAGTGGCAGAATAAAGAGGTAGGAGCACCTCGCCTACCTCCAGAATTGCCCAGAAAATAGAGAAGAGAGAAGATGTTTGGACTGATGTGATGAGATCCAACTTCAGAATCAAACAGGCCACAGTTTGAATCTCTATCGTTACTAGCTCCATGACCTCAGGGACATGTGTTCACCTCTCTGGGCCTCAGTTTCCCCATCTATCTGGTAGGGATATCAATATCTCCCATTTGTGTACAGGGTAGCACAGCAATTTAAAGTGTGGGTTCTGAAGTTAGAATAACTTGGTTCACGTTACAATTCTACTCTGTCACTTGCTAAACTGCACAGCCTTGGAGAGTTCTCCATCCTGGGCCCCGACCCCAGTGTTGCTGGCCAGGGTTTCTATTGTCACAGCAATGAAAACAGTTTCTGGGGACTGGTATGGAGCCAGAGCCTGGTCCTGGAGTCCTCAGGTAAATGCCATGGCTGGCCAGCAGTCACCACTCCATCTTCTAAGAAAACAAGACCTGGGGCTGGCCCGTGGCTCACTCGGGAGAGTGCGGTGCTGATAACACCAAGGCCACGGGTTCGGATCCCATATAGGGATGGCCGGTTCGCTCACTGGGTGAGCGTGGTGCGGACAACACCAAGTCAAGGGTTAAGATCCCCTTACCGGTCATCTTTTATAAAAAAAAAAGAAAAAGAAAAAGAAAACAAGACCTGAGGGCTCAGCTGTAAGGGTGTTGGGGAGAGCCCCAGGCCTTCCTCCCCCCAGAGCCACCAGCTCTACCTTCCAGTGCTCTGGGGATGCTGCAAGCCTGCCACAGGGCCAGGGCCATAATCTCTCTCCCAAATCTCTCTCCCAACACTCAGGCTGTAGCAATGCCAGGGCTCCCCATTCTCCATCAGCCCCCCCAAATCCCAAAGAAACATATGAATCATAACCAATGTTAGCAGACTGTACTGTGTGCTAGGTCCTAATCCAAAGACTTACACCTTTTGTCATTTAATCCCCCACCACACTAATATTACTCCCATTTTACAGATGGGAAACTGAGGCTCAGAGGGATTTGGTGACTTTCCCCAGTTGCGTAGTATGTAGCAGAGCCAGGATGCAAACCCCTATGCCTGTGCCTCTAACCACTGTGAAATACAACCTTTTTATCCTAAGTATAAACTACATTCTTGCTATGCAAACAGAGCTTGAAGATCAGGCCCCAAATACCCCCTAAATAAGAATTCTGGAGCCACCACTGCACTCAAGCTGGCCTTGGCTTCTGAGCTTTGGATTCTGGACAACAATGGTTACAGTCCCAGCCTGGGGACGTGGAAAGAGAGTGCCCTTGGCTTCTTGTCTTGGCTCTGCCCCCCACTGGCTAGTGGACTCGGCAAGTCACTCCCCACTCTGGGCTTGGCAGCATCACCCCGTCCAATGAGGCCACAGCTGGATCAGAAGCTCCCAGGCCTAGGACTTTCCAGGATTGGGCTCAGCACCCCACCCCCAGGAAGGCCAGGAGGCTGGGCAGGACCTGCTTGGTGTTAAATACTTCTGTCCAGCACTCCCCAGGCCTCTTGTCCCAGTCTTCCCAGCAGGAAGTTTGACCAAGATCAATCATGGTAAGAATCTGCCTGGGGCCATGGCAGTCTGTCCCTGGGTGGGACACCTGCAGTGAGACCTCCAGAAGCACCTGTGTGGAGCCTCTCCTCTCACTGTCCTTTTCTTTCTCCATAGACGACTTACAGCAACAAAGGAGAGAAGGTGAGCAGGAGGGGAAGTGTGAAGCCTCGGCTTGGCAGGGGGTCACAGTACAAGGAGACAGATGTCAGCAAACAGCAGAAGAGGAAAAACTACAGTGGCCATGTGATGTCCATGCCAGCACGCTCAGCTTTGTCCTCTGGCTCCCACAGACTGAGCTGGACTTAACCTTGCCCCCCTGAAAAACTTTTACCTCTTTTTAAAATACCTGCCAATCTCTTAATCCTGTCTGGAAGTTCTTTCTAAGCTATAACTTAAGTCCATGTTGCTGCAGCATAAGGCTAATTTCCTCCATGAAACCTGGGCAGGTCTCCCAAGGGGCTTCCCAATCCTGAACCCTCAGGAGCTCAATTTCTACATGAGAAGCCTCTTTGGAGGCTTGGCAAGGCTGAGTGGCATTCAGCATTTCCTATGTTCTGGGGTTGAGGCTGGGATAAGGGAAGTAGCTGGGGGACACCTCTCTTTTTTTTTTTTTTAAAGATGACTGGTAAAGGGATCTTAACCCTTGACTTGGTGTTGTCAGCACCACACTCTCCCAAGTGAGCTAACCGGCCATCCCTATATAGGGATTTGAACCCGTGGCCTTGGTGTTATCAGCACCACACTCTCTCCCGAGTGAGCCACGGGCCGGCCCTTGGGGGACACCTGTCTACATGCACTTTTATAGACCCAATTCCAGGGACTCAACTTCACTCCTTCTCTCCTGCAGCCTGAGAGAGGCCGGTTCCTTCACTTCCACTCCGTGACCTTCTGGGTGGGCAACGCCAAGCAGGTAGAAGCCAGGACAAGGGGTTGGAGCGGGTGAAGGGCAGGCAAGAGGGCCTCCTGGACAAGGCAGGCCTCCAGCTGGGTCTGTGATTGGCCCCTGGGAGGGGAGGATCAGAGCCAGTGTTGGGACTGGTCACTCTTTAGATCCTTGTTACACAATCAGGGCCACGGACCCCAGCAGGAAATGTATCGGAGGGCGGGGTGTGCAGGGAGCGGTCTTTCTTCTCATGAGTCTCTGCACCTGGGGCAGCAGGGCAGACTGGCTGAGGGGGGCTGGGAGCTCTCAGCGGGAGGCCCCCAGGCTGGCCGCCCACACTCATGAACCCTTCTACATCTCTGTGATCCAGGCTGCCTCCTTCTACTGCAGCAAGATGGGCTTCAAGCCACTAGCCTACAAAGGTCTGGAGACGGGTTCCCGGGAGGTGGTCAGCCATGTAATCCAGCAAGGGAAGGTGAGTCCCTACCCCAGGACACTCCCTTGCTCGTCCCTGATGGGGTATCTCTCTTCCTGCTGCTCCCAGGGACTCTAGCCCATCTAGCACCTTTGCGCAAATTAGACCTGGAGGCCCCTTTCTTCAGGCAGGTGTGCTCCTGTTTCAGGATGCATAGCTTGACTGGTTCCGGGATGCATAGTTCAGTCCCCACGGGCCCCTCCACCAGGCAGCTTTGTACAACCCTGCACTGAGGACCTTCGTAGTTTCATCTCCCTCTCTCCTGGCCCAACGCTGGCCCCACAGGTGTTCAGGGGACCTGGAACATCAGAGTAAGAACTCTCAGCAGTGCCCTGGTCTGTGGGATCCCTGGAGCTCTCCCCCACAGGGAGGCCTGACCCAGCAGCTCATCCCAAGACCCAGGGCGGGTCTGGCACAGGACAAGGCCCCCATCCCTCAGGACCTGTGGGGGAAGCCATGGCGGAGAAAGGGCTAGAACCCATGGTCCAGGAACCCTGTGTGGCTGGGTCCTTCTGCTCCACCAGGGGTGTCTGGGGGTGGACAGGAAGGGGCAGATGAGCCACCAGCCACACCCCCTTCTCTTGTATGTCCTAGATTGTGTTTGTCCTCTCCTCAGCGCTCAACCCCTGGAACACAGGTGAGGGGGCTCAAGGGGTGGAAACAGGACATGGTGGGTGGGGTCAGGGAGGGGAGGTTGAGCCTAGAAGGAGATGGGGCCCAGAAGGCTGAGAGCCAGGAGAGGGGGCCTTGGACTCCAGTGCCACCACCACCCCTGATGGCCACAGAGATGGGTGATCACCTGGTGAAACACGGCGATGGAGTGAAGGACATTGCATTCGAGGTCGAAGATTGTGACTACATTGTGCAGGTGAGACTGCACCTGGGCTGATTTGGGAGAGGAAGCAGTAAAGCTTGGCCTGCCACGGGGACCCCTTCAGTCAGGGCTGGGGGGACACACAGTGATGAGCTCAGATGCTGGTGTGACATACACCTGGGTTTCAGGGATGCCCTGCCTCTTACTAATTGCTTGTCTTCCCTCTGAGCCTGAGTTTCCGCATCTGTCAAACAACTACTTCACTGAGTTGTATTAAAGGGGAAATAAGATCATAATTACCATCTCTTGAGCATGATTCTGAACCAAACACTATATTCAAGAGGAGGTTTAGAGGTTCAGAGCGTGGATTCCAAAGCCAGACTGCCTGGGCCTGAATCTTAATAGCTGTGTGACTTGGGGCAGGTGACGCAGCTTCTCTGTGCTACAATTTCCTCACCTATAGAATAGAGATTATAAAAGTACCTTTCGTATAATGTTGCTGTGAGGTCAATACTAAGAACAGTGCCTGATGTATGATATAAGCATTGACATGCCGTAAGTGAGGTTTTGCCAAACAAGTACATAAGTCAGGTACACAGAGCACTTGGCACAGGGTCTGACACATAGAAGGTGCTCAACATCAGCTCATGTTATTCTTATCCAACCACCCTTTATACAGATGTGGAAACTGAGGACTGGAGAGGGGGAAGGGCCACAGAGTGAGTTAGCAAACCACCCTACCTGGTTTGTCTACCAGAGCCCCAACTCTGACCCTGGGCCTCAGTTTCCCTACCTGCCAAGTGGGCATGAGGTGTGGTTATCAGGGTAATGGCTGAAGCTGGCTGGGGTTCCTGCCTGGAGCTGGAAAAGTTGGAGGAGGCTGTGGCAGGGCCACACAGACCACCCAGCAGGAGCAGCAGGCAAAGATTCTGGGAGGCCCAGCCCTCACTGCCTCCCCACCCCATCTCCTGTGCAGAAAGCCCAGGAACGGGGTGCTAAAATCATGCGGGAACCCTGGGTGGAGCAAGACAAGTTTGGGAAGGTGAAGTTTGCTGTTCTGCAGACGGTGAGTTAACTCTGGTGCCCCCACCCCTTCGGTGGTCAGTACCCACTGAGGTACCCCGACCCCCCCCAACTGACTCCATCACCCCACCCCACCCACGTGCTTCCCCCTGAGCACAGACATTCTCCCTCAAGTTTGACCACCTATAATGCTTAGCCAGGGCACAGGGGCTGACAGGAGCTACCAGTCATCCCTCTCGGGGTCTCCTTCCTCCCCAGTGGGGGCTGACAGCATGGGGGTATAAGCTTTGGACACAGGCTTTGAACAAAGGAGAAGCATGGGGTCTTGGGAAACCACACCCCACCCTAGCTGTGTGGCTTTGGGCAACCCACTTGACCTCTCTGTGACTCTGTTCAAATGAGCAAGGACTGGAGTTGGACCACTTGTGTGACCTGAGACATGCTAGTTAACCTTGCTGTGCCTCAGTTTCTTCACAGGGTTATTGTAAGAATCAAATGAGATCATTTGTGTACAGCACCTAAAACAACAGTGCCTGGTATACAGTGACACTCAGCAAAGATTATTAATTCTGTTTAGCACCTGTGTTATAGTAATACAGAAACAATCACAAGTCCTACCTCCTCAAGATTAAGTGAAATGTAAAGATTGCTAAAATGTTGAAAGAGCCTTTCAGTATAATTTGATCCAATGCCCTTAACACATTCTTCATTTAGTCTACACATTTTTATTGAGCACCTACTATGTGTCAGGCACTGGGCTAGGCGCTGGAGATACCATCATGAGCAGAACAGTGTCCCTGTCCTCATGGAGCTTCTGTTCCATGGAGCAGACAGACCATCAAAGAAACTCCCAAACAAGTGGCAGGTTGCAATTCATTTCAGAAGGGGGAAGTGACTTGCCTAAAATTACACATGGAGTTAGGGTCAGACCCCGGCTGGATCCCAGGGTGTGTTGGCGCCATGAAATGTGGCCCGGCCTCAGCAGGGGTGGGTACTCAGAGGCCAAGCCAGGTTTTCCACCCACAGTATGGGGACACCACACACACCCTGGTAGAGAAGATGAACTACAGTGGCCGCTTCCTGCCTGGATTCGAGGCCCCAGCATTCACGGACCCCCTACTTTCCAAGCTGTGAGTGCCCCTCAGAACAGGGCTGGGGTAAAAGCCCTGCAGTGGTGTGAAAAGCTATGTTCCCTCTCCTCCGTGTGGCTGGACTTCTCTGATGGGGCGGAGTATTTGGAGCCTGCTGGGGAACTCCTGAAAGTCCCCAAGGGGCTCTTGAGGAGGTGACATAGAGGCTGAGAGCACAGGCTCTGCAACCAGACTGCCTGGGCTCAAATCCCCGCTCTGTTACTTCATAGTCGTTTAACCTGGAGCAAGTCATTTTATTTCTCTGTGCCTCAGTTTCCCATCTGTAAAATGGGTATAGTAACAGCGTGTAGGTTGACAAAATAAAGTGCCTGGCCCATAGTAAGTGCTACATAAGTGTGAGCTATTACTATTATTATCACCATTATTGAGGGGTCAGCAGGAAGGGAGAGATTTGGGGGTAGCCCTTCTTCTCACCCCCGACCCCTTCCCATTCCCAGTCCTGATTGCTGTCTTGAGATTATCGATCACGTTGTGGGAAACCAGCCTGATCAGGAGATGGTGTCTGCCTCAGAATGGTGAGCCCCTGGCCCTTCTCTTTCCCTGAAGGTGACAAGCCCTCCTAGAGGACAAGCCCACCCCCCAATTCTCACAACGAAGTGAAAAATGGAGCACAACATGGTGGGAAGTTAGCCTGTGGTTACTGATTCATTCATTCACTGAAAAACTGTCACCATGGAGACCAGAGGATTTAAGGCCCAAAGTGATCCACAGAGATCATGGTCCAGGGAGGGTTGGAGGGAGACTGTCACTACACAAACAGCACCCTTGTCCAAATTAGAAGCAAGTGCCCCCTTCTCAAAGCACTTTACCTCCATCTGTTGGAGCACTGCCATACTTTACGTCTTTTGTTACAAGATACTTTACCTCCACCTACAGGGAAATTATCATGATAAAGGTACGATTTTGTCTCCTTTCTGGAGCCTATTCAGGGACAAATTCTGGAAGGTGGAAATGGGGTGGTGGTGAGGCACAGGGGGAGCTAGTACCAGGCTGGCACTCAGAGTAGATGTGTCCTCCTGACCATCTGGCAGGTATGTGAAAAACCTTCAGTTCCACCGCTTCTGGTCAGTGGATGACACGCAGGTGCACACGGAATACAGCTCTCTGCGGTCCATCGTGGTGGCCAACTATGAGGAGACCATCAAGATGCCCATTAATGAGCCAGCGCAGGGCAAAAAGAAGTCCCAGATCCAGGTGGGGGCCTTCCCTGGCTGGGGAAGAAGGGAGCAGGGAAGAGGTCTGGGGCACTTACAGAGGCGGGGCAAATGACAGTGGCCTCCTTGTTTTCCTCCCCCAGGAATATGTGGACTATAATGGGGGCCCCGGGGTCCAGCACATCGCTCTCAAGACCCAAGACATCATCACAGCGGTTAGAACCCCATTCCTGGTCCTGATTCCCCTCTCATTCAGTGCCAGTGATAGTCTCTGCAAAATGAAAAGGAAAGGGGTCAATGGCAGCCCTGTGCCCCCTTCTCTGGCCTGTAGGGCTGGCGGGGCTCACGTACTGGTTCTTTCAACTCATGTGCAGGCACATCCCTCCCCACCAACCCCAGAGAGTTTATTCTCTGGAGAACATTCTGGGCTTTGGAGGTACTGGTGCCAGAGTATCAGGAAGCCTGGATTCTAGTCCCAGTTCTGTCAGTGCCTTGCTGTGTGTCTCTGGGGGATTCAATGCCCTCTCTGGGCTTCAGTTGCCTCACCTTGAAAATGAGTATATTGCACTACAAGATCAATTATGCCCTTTTAGCCAAATTAAGTGAGGATACTGCACTACAAGATCAAATTATGTCCTTTTAGCCAAATTAAGAACCTGTGTCTGTGGATCCAGCCCTTGGAGGCCTGAGTCCTTCTATTCCTTAAGTGGCACTATGCAAGACTGGACAGGAGCCTGGACTGTCCCATTTAATCCTGGTGCAACCAAGAGTTCACTGCATGACTGTGGCAACTTCATTCATTCAGTCGCTCAATAGATGTTTATTGAGCACCTACTATGTGCCAGGCACTGTTTTAGGTACTTGGGATACATCAGCAAACAGTAGTTTCTGCCCTTACGGAGACAATAAACAAAATAAATAAACTACATATTAGATGGTGGTGAGTGCTCTGGAAGAAAATAAGGCAGAGGGCCGGCCTGTGGCTCACTCGGGAGAGTGTGGTGCTGATAACACCAAGGCCACGGGTTCGGATCCCATATAGGGATGGTCGGTTAGCTCATTTGGGAGAGCGTGGTGCTGACAACACCAAGTCAAGGGTTAAGATCCCCTTACCGGTCATCTTTAAAAAAAAAAAAAAGGAAAAGAAGGCAGAGAAGAGGGAGAACAAGGGTGAAGGGCATTACACATTTAAATCAGGAGGTCAGGGAAGGCCTTACTGAGGAGACATTTGAGAATGCAAAGTGTTGGAAGGAGAGAAGCCCATGGAAACCCAGGGAGAAAGTGCCCCAGCCTGGAGGGACAGACAGAGCAAAGGCCCTGAGATGGGCATGTGCCTGGAAGGTTGAAGATCGGAATGGGTGGAAAAGAATGAGCAAGAGACAGAGGTAGGGGACAGGTCAGAAGGTAGGAGTCAGGGCAGATGGTGAGGGCCATGGTGAAGACTTTGAATTTGACTCAGACATGGCACCACCATGGGATAAGCAAAGAAGTGACATGATTTGACTTGTATTTTAATAAAATCACTCTGGCTACTATGTTGAGAATAGATACTTAATCTTTCAATGCCTCAGTTTCCCCAGCTATGAATTGGGGATAATAACTGTCCAGACGCCTCAAAAGATTTCTGCATGGATATAATGAGGCAATACATACAAAGTGCTTGAAAGGTCTAAGGTTCAGATCTCTGTCTGTACCAGCCAGCTGCAAAAAAAAAGAAAGAAAGTGCTCGAGACAGGCACATAGTGAGCATTCCATAAATGTTAGCAATTGCTGTTCTTCTAACAGGGGCCCCACCAGAGAAGGAAGGGGATGAGGTCACATGGTACCCTGGCAGTTGTGGGGAGCTAGCATAGGGACCCTGCCTCCTCGTGGCTAGGGATGTTGATTGAGCTTGGACAGACAAAGAAGCTGACCTTGACTCTGCTCTGAGACAGATTCGCCACTTGAGGGAGAGAGGCTTGGAGTTTTTGGGTGTTCCATCGACGTACTATAAACAACTGCGGGAGAAGCTCAAGTCAGCCAAGATTCGGGTGAAGGAGAGCATTGACGTCCTGGAGGTGAGGCCCAGGCAGGATCCTCAGCCAGGTGGAGAGTACAAGCCCCGAGTTCCGTCTTGCCTCATAAAGATTGTCTAAGCCCCTACCCTGCACCAGGCACAGGGACACAGAGTACAAACCAGCCCAGGTCCCTTGCAGCATGGGACTTGTCTTCTGGGGGGGAGGGGTGCAGATGACAAACAAATAACAAAAACAGCATCAGAGAGAGTTAGGGCCACGTAGAAAGTTAAAACAGGCAACCTGAGGCTGCTTTACAGGGAGTGGTCAGGGAGGGCCTGTCTGAGAAGTGAAATCTGGATCATGAGAGGGAACTGGCTGTGTAAAGGACCAGAGCTGGGGAAAGAGCATTCCTGGTGGAGGGAACAGCAAGTGCAAAGGTCCTGAGGCAGGAGCAAGCTCTAAGTGTCTGAGGAACAGAAAAAAGGCTAGAGTGAATGAAAGGTCTTGTTTGAGGAGTGACTTAGGTCAGACAGGTAGGCAGGGGCTGATTCCTCTGGTGGACTATTTAGGAGTTTGGATTTTGTTCTACGACCAGAAACCATTGAAGTTTTTTAAAAATTTTTTTTTAAATTTTGCCTTTAATGGCTTTACTGATGTATAAATCACATAATGTTACTCTTTTAAAGTGTACAATTCAATGGTTTTTAGCTATTTGCTATGTCGTGCAACCATCGTCAAAATCAATTTTAGAGCAATGAAAATGCTCTAAAGATTTCACCCTAAAAGAAACCGTGAACCTCTTAGCCATCATCTCCCAATCTCTCCATCCCCTTCCCCTCTCTTGCCCCAGCCCTAG